CAGACACATAACTATAAAAAATACATGAATATGTGCAATGTGGCATCAACTTTATTTCGTTCAACGTACATGCATTAAACACTACTTATATGAAAGATGCTGAACTAGAACACCTATGAAGAAATAGGTTGCAGCTGCATATTTTAGAAATTATTTTTAACTATATTGTCCTAAGAGCTTTCCTCCTTATAGTTAAGCATGCACCCGGAGGGTAGGAAGTATTATATTTTTGTCTCTGCATGCCCAGAGTCTGGCAAGTCACTAGGCACATAGCTGTGATGCCCTGGATTTGGAATCTGTGGACCTAGATCCTAATACAAGCTCTTCCATTTACTAACGAGCTATGTGACTCAGAAGAAACATGTAACATCTCTGCACTTCACTCTCCTGATCTGCAAAATGAGAGAGTTAGAATAGATGAAGTCTAAAGTCCTTTTCAGCTGTAAAAATTATATCTAAAAGGGTGTTGAGTGAATTAGTGAATGGATGGATAGATGGATGAAGCATGTTCACAGTCGTATCAATTCTAAGAAAGTAAAAATTTCTGAAGCCTCACAAAATATTTCAAACTTTGGCTAACCCAGTGAACTTGTTGTCCTTTCTAGGTCTGATGTTCAATGATTTGCTCATTTCTTATGTACATAACAATGAATGTGATCTCTGGACTATTCAACAGATGCTATAGGAAGACACTAAGACCCAAAGACATAGACAGATACAGTGACATTTCTGTGCATATATATAACCTCTAGAAACTATAACATACAGTCCTGGTATCCCAGTGGAAATATATCATCTTTTTATAGCACATTCATAACACACATTCAAGTTCTCATAAAAAATCATTCTCAACAAATAAAGGCATGGATTTTTCAGCTTTCCTCCAGGGATCATACATTGCATTTAAAGAGTTTCTTGTGCAAAATCAAATCAAACTTCATATTTTTCATGCTATTGATTTAGTCAAATATTGAAACATTTTTTGAACATAAAGTGAATAACATGCCTTAAAAGTACCTATTTACCAGACTACATGGGAATTTGAATAGGTGGAAAAGAGCTGTATTGTCCCTTTCTTTTGTTACCACGTGATCAAAGTACAGGTACTCATCGACTTGAAAGATGGCCCTGAGTTTTGAATCACTTGGGATATATTTCATGCTCAGAATCAAATGACATTTTAGGGACAAGTAATTCCAGTTATGCCCCTTTGAGATTTCATACCCATTTCCTGAACGTTTTTTCAACTAGAGCTAAAATAATGAAAAATGCCCTGCAAAAAATAAATAAATAAATAAAAGAAAAAAAGAGAGAAATGGCTTTAGATACAACACACATTCAATACTGAACAAACACAAGTAGTATAGAAAGTATTGTAGAAAGAGGACAGGGTCTAAAGTCAGAAGAACCAAGTTAAATTCCTTCCTCTCATGCTTTACTACCTGTGTTCTCTGACACGTCATTTTATATCACCAGGTCTCAGTATCCTTGTCTGTAAACAGATGAGATTAGAATAGATCTCCTTTCTAGTTCCACATTTATATCAAATATTTGCATTTTGATGGCTTCCCATACATATTTGCACACACAAATTGTTTCTAAGCAAATTTATTAATATCTATAAAGGAAAACTATAGGGTATTGACATTTGCAGTTCCAAAGATGGGCATAATTCCTAACTGGACTTTAACTGCTTCATTTGCAAAATAAGAATTATACATGCTATCTTTATTTGATATAAACATAATCTGCATATTATGCATTATTTGTTCATTTGGCAAACTTTTATCAGGTTCCTATTATGCACAGTTAGGTGCTGGTGGAGAGAAAATATTTAGATAAGAAACAACCTCTATCTGTATAGCATTTGGTAAGAAGAAGCAGACACAAACATAGGTAACCATACCAGGCAATATTTCATAAGTGTATTAGAGAGCTAAAGCAACATATTCTGTAGGATGGAAGGCAGATAGCTGTTACTGAATAGGAGGAAGAACAAGAAGGTAGCATCTGAGTTGGACTTTAAAGGATGAATAACAGGAGTACTGGGGCATGGTGGGAAGAACATTGGATTTGGCAGCAAAAAACTTGACCTACTAAAAATAGTATGGGGGTGAGAAGGCTCGGCTCTGTGACTTATTACCCTGGCTAAGCCACTTACTTTTTCTGGCCTCATTTATCTCATCTTCAAAATGATAGTGTCAGATGAAGTAATCCTTAAGGTCTCTTCCAATGCTAAATCCTATGATCCTGTGAATTCAACAGATAAAAAGGAAGAAAGAGCACATTCACGCATAGAGAGTAGCCTGAGCAAAGAGAAGCAGAACATAGACTAATTTGAGTGGAGTATAGAGTACGTAGGCCAGCTAGGTGGTACAGAAGAAAGAACACAGGACCTGGAGTCAGGAAGACCTGAATTCAAATCTGACTTTAGACATTTACTAGTTGTATGACCCTGGGCAAGTCACTCAACTTCTGTTTGCCTCAGTTCCTCATCTGTAAAATGAGCTGGAGAAGGAAATAACAAACCACTCCAATATCTTTGCCAAGAAACCCCCAAATGTGATTATAAAGAGTTGGACTACACTGAAAAATAATTGAACAACAAAACAGAGTAGATAAATGGAAGCAATATGAAAATGCAAGGTTATCTCCAATGGAAACAGCATGATAGTATGCTACAAAGCATTTATGGATACTCCTGTTTTAGAGACAAATTGTTGGGACAACATAAATGCCCTCCTTCATTTGGTAGGCTGGCACACACCTATAATCCCTACCACTGGGGAGGATGAGGATGCTAGATCTTTTGAGCTTTGGAGTTCTGAGCTGAAGTATTGCTAGAGCTCATTGGGCATCTATAGTAAGTCAAATAACTTAAAGGGAGGATGTAGTGGTGGAGAGAGAAGGAGCCAGACTCCCTAAAGGAGGAGTGTGTGAACCAATCCAGGCTGGAAACAACATGTCAAACCTTATAAAATCCTCTGCTTGACAATCAAAGCTCTTCATAACATCCTCCACTTTCCAGGCTTCTTATACCCTACAAACTCACCTTTCATATACTCCAGTAACACCGGCCTTCTTGCTGTTTCTTATTCCATCTCACTACTCTTTCCGTGTTTGCCCCACATGCTTGGAATTTTCTCTCACCTCATTTCCACTTCTTGACTTTTATGTCTTCCTTCAAGTTCCAGATAAAATCCTACCTTTTATGAGAAGTCTTTCCCAATCCCCTTAATTCTAGCACTTTCTCTCTGTTGATTATTTCCAATTTATCTTCTGTATAGCTTGTTTGTACATAATTGTCTGCACATTGTCTCCCCCATTAGACTGTTAGTTCATTGAGAACAGGAATAGTTTGTTTGTTTTTACCTGTAACCTTAGCACTTAGCACAGTTTCTGACACATAGTAGGTATTTAATAAATGATTACTAAATTACTGCATGTATTTGTCAATAGTGGGATCTGCTGCATTTGCAGCCTAAGTGAGATAGGGAGATCCACTCTAAGAAAAGAAAAGAAAAGAAAAGAAAAGAAAAGAAAAGAAAAGAAAAGAAAAGAAAAGAAAAGAAAAGAAAAGAAAAGAAAAGAAAAGAAAAGAAAAGAAAAGAAAAGAAAAAAGAAAGAGAAAAGCCCTTCCAGGAAGAAAAAAAAATTCTATTGAAGGGGGCAATATCAAAACGAAAGTATGATGAAAATACAAGTGTTTTGCTTTACAATTTAAGATATACAAGGCAATTTTACAATTGGGCTTCAGTGTTTACAACTAGAAAACTATTACTATTGCCAGTAATGGCACTGGGCAGAGGTCTTATAGAAGATTGTATTTCCTACACAAGATAGGTCAGGCAGATTTCTTGGAAACCAAGCCCACTGCTGGAAATTTCCAGAGATAGCAAATTATTGTTGCATCCACTCTGCAGTGCTCATCTCCAAATCACTACTAAGTTTTCCCTCCATCATAGCTATTGGCTGTTGCCTTCAGTTTTCATGTTTGTTTGTTTTTGTTGTTGTTGTTGTCGTTATTGTTGTTTCATTTTATTTTGTTTTTCACTTAGTAGGCCTTTCAAAGGAGATACTTTACTCTCCCACAAAGGAAGGCAAATGCAAATCGACCTCCAGGTTAACCTTGACTTTGCCACACCATGCTATGGAAATTTGGAGAATTACTGAGTGCAACTGAACTATAAATTGAAGTCTTGGATCTATGTATAATGGACACACACACACACACACACACACACACATACACGAGAAATGAGTGAAGTCAATCAATTATATGTCCTGGTATTTTCTTTTTAAAGGAATGCTTTGGTTCTTAATGATAACTTAATTTAATTTGGAGATCAATATTCCACTTAGTCTATGAATCAACAATTAGATAACTTATTCAACCAATGTAACAATCGAATATGTGATGCATGCAGGAAATACTCATTTAAAAAAGATTCCCTTTTGATTTGTAGGAAACTAAGGGGAAATTTAATGCAGGATATTGGGGAAGAAATTAAATTTTGAAAATTAGATTAGGGCAAATTTGAATCACCCTACCAAAATCTGAAGGGGAGAGGACAGGAAAGGCTAATCTTGTTTGTATGCTTCTTCATTGAAAGCATTTCATTTAAACAAAGGATTTCAAAAAGCTATAAGCTTGCATGAATTGTAGATTTAGTTCTCTTTATTTATGTTTTATTTATTTATGTCCTAGATCCAGGCTCATTTTCTTTGTGCATCATTCAGCCCCATTTTAACTGCTTTCCAAAAAGGAAGAGTGTTTTTGATGAAATGACTCAGACATTCTTTATCATGTGGCAAGTTTCTTAAGGAATTCTGTCCAGTATTCATAACATCATAGTATCTTAGAATTAGAAGGAAACTCAGACATCATCTAGTCCAACTGCATTTTATGATCCCCAATAAGAGGTCATCCAGCCTCTTAATGACTAAACACTTGAACTACCTTGTTTCTGTAGTAGCACTTACAAGGTCACAAGTGAAGCACCATTATTGATGAAATACTCCTTTTAATAATCAACTGATACTGCGTGTTTCAAGGCAGATTCTAAGAGCTATTTCTCTACAGGCTGCAGTGTGATGTCAGTGTAATAAGTATTAAACTAGCTGTCATTGGATTCTCTACTTACTATTTGTGTGACCTTGGGCAAGACATATAATGGCTTTGAGTTCTACTTTCATCATCTGTAAATTATGGGTAAAATTTTCTCAGGAAATCATTATAGGGAATAAAATGAGAGAATCTATATGGAAGGGTTTTGTTAATTGTAAAATCACACATAGACTCATAAGACATTATTATTGTTTCCTATAAAATTTAATGGGAAATTATGGTACTTGAATAGAAGATTCAAGCATAGGCCTTCTGAGTTCTAATCTAGGACCACAAGATCAAGTATTTAGGGCTGAAAAGGGCCTTGAATGACAGCTAGTCCAATATTAGCATTTTGCAGATGAGGAAACTGAAGCCCAAGAAGATTATGTGACATCCTCAAAGTCATATAGATAAGTGGCAGAATTGGAATTTGAACTCGTGGTCTTTGACTCCAAAAACCAGCACTTTTCCCATTGTACAACACTGCTTCATGCCAACAAAACTCTGGAAAGCACAGAAAATTGGAAAAAAAATTCTTTAGTAACAAAATTTTCTATTATTATATGCTACCACCACCACCCCCCCTTGATAAATGAAAAGGGAAAGTATACAGTGCCATGTATGTAATATGATTTCCATAAATATTTATGAAATGTAGTAGGATAATTGGTATATACAATACCTGTGCTTATTTATAAAAGAATCTCTCTTGCTTTCAGTTTCTGTGCATTTAAGCACTTTTTTTTTTCTGGAACTAGACCTTAGTCTTTATTAAGTTATCAAGAAAACAAACAAAAAAAAATACTACTGTCTCTTCTTCTTCCCCCACCAAAAAAATAAAATAAAAAGGTGAAGTGAGTTTTCCCCACAGATCTCTCCAACCTAGCTGCTGGCTGCTTTCCCCAGGTTTTTGTGCCTTTTTAGTTTGCATATAAGAGTAAGCACTCTATTACATTGCATCAGTTTATTCTCCTTTAAAAATGAAGGTAAGCATACCTTCTAGTGTAACTCATTTTCACTAGTATCTTCCAGTCAGCTTTCTCCCAGGATTTTCCTGCAAATGAAATGAATGGATCTCAGGAGACATGCCTGGTAAACTCATTCATATACTGTATGCATTCAAAGAAATATGTTTTAAAGTTCTCCCTTAGCACTCCTAAGGTCTGTTCAAAGCAGCTTCTAAACATGATATCTGCTTTTCTTTTCTTCCCCTGTACTACATTTATCCACCAGGCTCTGAAATACAAAATCACATTCTGCTCTGCTGACAGTAGCCACACCACAACAGTCAGCCAGAAGGGGAAAACTTGTTTTAAAGGCAATTGCCTTTAAAACTTTTGTGTTACTTACTGAACATGAAATATACTTAAGTGATTCAATCCAGAAAATACAGTTTTTAGAAATGGCCAAATGAGATAACATATAAAGTTCTTTGCAAACATTAAAGTGATTATGTCACTATAGCTATGAGCCTAGTGGATAAAATATTACTAGAGAAATTTAAGTGATAAACTTTCACTTGAAGATTCCTGAACTCTGAATGAGTTCCTGAAATCAGACACTGTAAATCCAAACCAATAATTCTTGTTAGCTTCATTGCAGCATTGTTGAAAGAAAAGATGACTTATCGATCTTTTATATGAATCTCTATCCATAGTTATCACCAGTCTTTTAATCAATATGGAAAAATAAGTCTTTTCATTCAAGTGTCTGAAGAACCTACAGAGCTAAGGTTTTCTCTGTGTGAGCTCACAGTAATGATAATTTCGTGCTATATAAAGTGGATAAAGAAATAAGGGGATGAGGTATTCTGCACCTGATTTTAATAAATAAGAAGGAAAGATTGTTATCAAAATATAAATTGAATTCATTTTGGCAATATTTATTAAGTACCTTTTATATGTCAGGCATATATTGTTCCACATGCTGAGGATATGAAATCAAAAATAAATCCATCCTTGTCCTTAAGAAAATCATATTCTGCTAAAGGAAAACAATTCATAATAAAATTAGAAAATATAAAGTAAATACAAGGTAATTTCCAAGGTGGTGAGAGGAGCATTAACGTTGAGGGGAGAGGCAACTAAGTGGCACAGTGGATAAAGCACTGGCCCAGGATTCAGGAAGACCTGAGTTCAAATCTGGCCTCAGACACCCACTGGCTGTGTGACCCTGGACAAGTCACTGAACTCTGATTACCTAAAAAAAAATCAGAGGAGGGAATCAAAAGGACTTTCTGCAGAAGGTTGAAGTACTGCAACAGATTGTCCTATCCTAGAATTCCTGATAGTTTAGAGGGGGAATGCAAAAGAACTGCAAGGGAAATAACTGAAAATTAGTCTAGTCTTTAAGAGGATGATTTGAAAGAATTCATAGAAAGGGTAAGGAGAATTCTCTGGATTTTCTCTAGGTAAAGGGGGCACAAGCAGGGTGGCATCAGCTTGAAAACACATTTTAATAATATAAACTGTTGTGATTCTGCTGAGGAAGACTGGGGGAAAGCAGTCTAAATAAACTAATGTGTGTGAACAGAGAACTTACCAACCAAACCATGTTTTCAAACGATATGCACAGAAAATGAAAGCAAAGACAGGTAATTGATAATGGCTATGAAAAAAATCATATAGTCCTGTAAAAATGTCAGGAACAAAAGCCAAAAGCTTTCATGCAATGCTAAAGGCATCAAAAATAATTCCTTTAACCATTACTGGGGGTGAGTAGAAAAACAAATAAAATATAGAACTGCCATTGGAAGAGAAGAAAAAATGGTAAGTCTTGATAAAAATAAAGCAGAGCTACTCACGATGAAAAGAGCAGTGAATTTGCAATTAGAAGACCTGTGTTTACATAATAGCTAAGCTTTGTGACCTGGTCTTGGGCAATTACTTTAAATTCTCTAGGCCTTGGTTTCCTCTTCTGTAAAATTAGCTATACAATTGATCTCTAGTGTCCCTTCTAATTTGAAATATTATGATCTTCCTCACCTCCTATTGCAGTTCAGTTTTTCTACCAAGTTCTCTAACTTGGATCATGGTCTGGGGCACCAAACTGAGTCATTTAGCCAGGGTCACACAGTCAATATATTCAGAGGTGGAAGTGGAGTCTGCATCTCCCTGTTTCCAAGATTGGCTCTGTACCCACTACATCATTCTGTATTATAATTAAAGTCTTAATTTTGTGGTTTCCTTTGTGGTTCTCCAATACATATGTCTTGTCTTCTTTGAAGAGAAAAAGACGTGTAGATCTATCATGGTTAATCAAGATGTGTGCACTTATTGTTGGTGGAGTTGTAAAACAATCCAACCACTTGGAAAACAATTTGGAACTATGGATAAAGGGCTACAAAACTATACATACCCTTTGACCCAGCAATACCACTACTAGGTCTGTATCACAAAAATATCTAAGAAAAAGGAAAATGACCTATATGTATAAAAATATTTATAGCAGCTCTTTTTTGTGGTGGCACAAAAATTGTAATTTGAGGGGATGTCCATCAAATGGAGAATGGCTGAACAAGTTGTGGTAAATGATTGTGATGGAATATATTGCATTATAACAGATAATGGGCAAGATGGTTTCAGAAAAAAACTTGGGAAGACTTATGTGAATTGATGTGAAGTAAACTGAAAAGAACCAGGTGAACATTATACACAGTAACATAATTTTTGTAACAATAATCAACTGTGAAAGGCTTAGTTATTCTGATCAAGACAATGATCCAAGACCATTCTAAGCATTATGCAAAATGCTATCCACCTTCAGAGAGAGAACTGATAAACTGAGTGTAGATTAAAGTATACCTCTTTTCATTTTTTCTTGCTTTTTCTTGTTTTTGTTTTCTTGCAACATGACTAATATGGAAATGTGTTTTGCATGACTTCCCACATGTAATTGATATCATATAGGTTGCCTTCTCAATGGATGAGTAGGGGTGGGGGAACAGTAAAAGGAAGAGAGAATATTTGGAACTCAAAAAATTTTAAATGAATGTTGTAAATGAATAAACAATAAAAAGGGAGTTGCCGTCTTTCTAGAACTTGTATCCATAATATGTATTTTCTAAAACATCAAACCTCATATTAAAGTGAAGGATGCTGTTGATAGGAAATCTGAAGTGAATCTTATAACTTTGAAGTCTTGAATAAGAAAATGAACCAAACAGGGATTATACTTTTACCACTTCTTGCATTAAAAAAAATCTGAATTTAGGAGAAAAAGGACATAGAAAGTAAACATCTGGCTATGTATATTGTGACAAAGAGAAAATCTCACAAGATGATAAAAAGGAAAAGACAATTCCAGTTTTCAAAAAAGAGAGAAAAATTAGATCCCAGAAAATATAGACTATATAAACTTAACACAGTTCTTTGATAAAAACTCAAAAATAAATCAATAAACAATTATTAATTAAGCACTTAATATTGGCCAGGAAGAGGGGAAAAGATCACAGATTCCAAAAGTGACACCCATGGCTATCCCTGATCCAAGCCTATGACCAAAAAGCCAGAGATTTTAACCCCCATCACTGTTGTTCTGCTGTCTTTGACAACCCTAAAACCCTGTTATGATTCTGAACAGTAGATAGAAGCTCAAGAAAGAAAAAAAAACATAAGATTACAAATCATATTATACCTACAAAACCACAAGGAATCATGTCAGAGTTCATCATGGTAGATGCATGCCCAAGAACAGGCACAGCAAAGTTCATTGGCAATGACCCAACTTGTTTGGGAACCAAAGCCTATTTGGGGCCTGTAAATTCAAACTTTGTTTAGACTGTAAGATGATTCTCCAGATCTCAGATCCTGCATACAAAAAGATAAGTTTATCACTCTATCTGCCATATAATACTTCAAATATTTAGTGTCTACCACATAAAAGGCCTTGTGCTAGGCCATGGGACCCAAATTTCTCACCTATCATGTGCAAAGGCCTTTTTCCTCCAATCAAAAATCTCAGCTGGAGGCCTTAGCCATAGTACCATGGCACTCTAGCTCCACATCATAGCAGATAACATGCTGGCCTAGGATCAAGAGGAACATAATAAAAACAGTGAGGGCAAGAACAGGATGGCTAGTAGTGAATCACTGTAGATCTCTCCTAAACCTGTGCCTTTCACTCCTACCTTAATTAAGCATTACCAGTGCCCCCATGAGCATCCACTTGGCCACCCCTGACCAAGAATTCAAAGAACTTGACTTTTGCAGATGGTACCAAAATCAATAATTTAAGACTTGAAACATACAAAGGTTAAACTATAAATCCAGGGAGATTTTTTCTAAAGTTTAACTTCACTTCTACATTTAAGTATCTCATATGGGCTCCAGTGATCCATATACAACAAAGCCAGCATGATGTAGTAGACTGGAGCATTAGAAATGAAATCAGATACCCGTGAAAGCCAGGCTTAAACCTGCCACCTTGAAAACCCCTTCTAATCATCCTGCCCTATGGGAGCCTCACTTACAAATTGTGCATGTTGGAGATGGGGAGAGAAAGGGGACACTACATTACCCTGCATATAGGTCAAGAATTGCAATTACAGATTAAATAAAAACAGAAACCACATTGGTTTTGCTCAAATCCTGGGTATATTAAATAACGTAACCTGTGCAGAGCCTTACGAATGTATCACTCTCAAAGTCAAATTGGAGACAGTTAAAAAAAAATGTTGTGTATCCAATATCCTAGTACGTAAGTCGAATCAACTCCACCTTCAAACACAAGCAAAAGGCACATATTGCCATTAGTCATCTTTCTACAAATTGAAATTTCTTTATGAATGTTAATGTTCTCATTCAAAATGTTCTTTTCTAAAATTGGAATCATTTTTCAGTGCTTTCATTTTCCACATTTGTTGAATTATTTTGTAAATGGATTGCTCCAAGCAATTTATAATAAGGTTTCATTAATTTGCCATAACAGATTCAGGATTCTTGACTGTTGTATACCATTTGGATTTACATTATGCCACACATGTCAGAGATGTATCCTGTACCATTTTTGAAATTTTGAAGGTGAGGAGAAAACGACCTTATGTCAGTTATTGAACCATGTGACAGAAAGTCATCTTGTCTTCCCCCTGTCTTCATGCCTATATGCTTTCCTCAACCCTTTAAAATTAAACAGATTTTTCATATCCCAATGGCAAAAATAATCCTATCTTTAGCAATTCCTTCCTAAAAAGCTCTATTTTATTCTAATGCTAAATCTGTTCTCAAAGTTTTAAGGCTTTTTTCCCCTATATTCTGTTTTCATTAAAGATAGGGAAGAGAGTGATTAACACTTATATTAACAATTGTAAATATACATTTTATATGTTATGAGATTTATTGAATTTTTACTGTTATACAAAACAGCTCTAATTCTTTTAGTATTTCCTCATAGATTCTATTTTCTTAACATTTTATCATCTCATGAAAGTGGGGATAGGACTCTTTGGAGAACAGAAAGATAAAAGAAATTAAGAGCACACCAACTATATTTGCTCAAATCAAATTCAATTTGACTTTTTAACTGCATCTGATATTGCTCATAACTTCTTACCCATTGAGATGACCCCAGACCATTAAAAATTTACAAGGTTTATGTAATTGTGGGATAACAACTATTGGGTTCATTTTTTTTAATCAGGTGGATATCATTCTCTTTCATACAGAGTTTAGAGTATGTTTTGCAAAATCAGACCCATAAGATAGGAAAACTGAACTGTGTCTCAGGGAAACATGAATCATAAACTGAGCTAGTATTTTTCAAACTCTGACCAGGGAATGCAAATTTTCACTAATCAGCCCTCAAAGGAGCAAATGCTTTTAGTTACAACTCAAGGTAAGGTAGTTTAAAAGTTCAGGGTAAAAAGGTCAGCTCCCAGAAGGCCTAGACAATTTCTACTCAATATCTAACATATTCATAAATTAATCTCCATCCTAAACCTTTGGTTAAATCCCTCTGGCTTCTCAAGCTAGGTGCTGG